GTCACCCTAGTTACTCATTCAACTTGATGACTCGTCTAATTTCTCCAATATGTTGCTCTTAAACTAAGTTATTCAAACTGCTGTCTAAAATTTTCTTATCAGTACTATTAGAAACCACGTTTGTTTACTATGCCTAACATGATCACCTTTCCAACCATTTTATCTGTACTTAGTTTAACTACAGGAAGATTGCCAGCTAATGTTAATATCCAATTTTTTTACAGTAAATAATTTCACTTAAACTACAACGTACGATAACAGCGGCATATTATAATATACGTCTTTTTAACTATAGTCTTACTGATTTACTAGTCTAATAATTTATACCTTTTTGACAATGTCGTAATATATTGCACTAACGTATCACATAGTTGTGATAATCTTCGTCGTTATCTGAATTCTGTAGACATTTTCATCATTGTAAAACTAATAGAGTTGGGAAACTTGTCATCGGTTTATGTCAAGATTACTTATTTCCAACCGAAATTATCTGATTATATAAATGAGTGTCTAACGATAAATGAATGAACAGCTTACAACTTGTAACGCTACTGGGAACGTATCTGTTATTAGAAGGAAACCAATTTATAGTTGATTATTGCATAAGTGATTTTATGTTTCCTTATAATAATCATTCTATCATACATAGAAAATGAACAGATTTCAATCTAAATTTGATTTAGAATATACAAGTAAATGAAGCGGTATACACATGTAAAAAATTGCCCTGGAAGAAAAAACAAATGAATTCTCTTCGTTTTCTTTGACAATTTCTTGAGAGTTCCACTATGAAGTGCTTTAAACTCATTTCATCATCTTATTTGTTGTTTTACGATAACCTGTTATCATAGAGTATAAGAACTGAGACTCAACTTTACCATACTTGTGTGCTAAAGTGATGATAAGTAACCATAAGATAACAACTTAACATTCCATGACCATGTAGATTGATTGGAAAATATAAAACAACAACCGTATTTCAAGATGTTTTTTCATTGTTAACTGCATGAAAAATATGTGATCGTTAAATTGTAAAAAATACAGTTAATTTAATTATGAAAAACCGGAAAAATATCAGCTTCAAAAATCATACTTAGGCAGGTAAAATGTGCAGTTTAGATAAGTTGTACTAAACTAGACATTAATTTATATATATTTTCCATGCGATTTTAAAAGTTATTAAAGTAATATGATGTGCAATATTGCTGAAGATAATTTGACGACACCCTTATTACATATCTTCGCAGGTATCAAATAGCTGTAGTACTGATGTGATGCAGTATTTGTTTTTGAATGTACGGTATTTCAAATTTTTAGTACACTTATTTTGTTAAGTTAAAGAGCAGGTTACAGCAAGTTAAAGTGTTTGTTGCGATGCATTTTCGATATGTTAGAGTGCGTTTCCGGAATACATTAAATTGTGTATTTTAAGTCAATATTCAATTACCTGTGATTTAAAAGAAATGACGTTTGCTGTTGGGAACGCTTGATTCCCAGAACTCGCTTTATAAAGGTCCTAATTTGGACTTCATGTTTTTGAGCATGAACTGATTAGTTGACCTTGAGATTACATTTACCACCAGTAAAATCCTCGGCTGTGATTGGTTGCTGTGTATGATAGTCTGCTATTTTTTTGACTGTCCCAAGGACTTTTCCATAATGTATAAATAAATGCGATTTGTGTGCTTGAATTCGTAGTGCTTGCTGGGTGTTTGTAGAATATACCTTTTACTCTATAACAAGTCTTTTCATTTGTTGTTTTGAGTCAGCGGATCAGGGTAGCCTACCTGGACGCTAGTTCATTGTCTCGTTCGCATTTATCAACTAAGGTGAACGCGTAATAGTTTCAAGCATGCCTAGTGACGATCATAACATCCGAATAAGTTTGTCTATCTTTGATAATTTTCTAATACTCCTCCATTTGACTGTAAAGCATTAAGTGTATAACATTTCCTAGAAATAACCTTTCTAATCACTCAAAAATTAAAAAAAACAAATTGAGATATCATCAACAAGAAAATCTTTCTTTGCTAAAACATTTTTTATTCCTTTTAATATCTGGCATTTATTTAAATTAAACTTACTTATTTAAGTAGTTTTGTTTTCATTGTTGATTTATTTTTCAACTACTCATGCATTTGTTAATGCAACTGATAATAATGATAATGGTCTAGTAACTTATTTGTACTATTTATGGATATTTTATTTGTGCTTTTCTTATTTTTAACTCTTCAGTTTAAAATGAACAAAACACGTTCAATTATTTAATAATTATCAAAGCTAATGAAAATATTTCAGAAAATATGAGCTTCATTGTAACTTTATCTTCAACTTGATGTTACTCTGTTGATGTTATAATGATCAAAATAATTTTTTTTTAAAAAACTATTCAGATAGTCACAATATTAAACGTAGAAAGTACATATGTATAGACAGAGCGAATCAACTAATTTTATACTCCGTAAAAGTTATGTTACCTTAACAGTATCGATCATATTTTGAAAGAAAAAAAACCTTAAGTATTTGAAGCGAAATCATCATTTACGTCATTTTCTTTCATCTAAACTTAATCAAACTACAATGAAATAAACTCATCAAATAGTTTATTTTTTGCATCAGCTGACGTCTGTAAATTTTTGATTTACAGTTAATGAAAAGAAAACAGTTATCAAGGATTATCACGGAGAGGATGGTTTGTTTTTATTTACGCATTTGGTTATCGTTTCAAAGGACTGTTTTTGTACATCAAAATGGAAATGCATGCAAAATAACTGTCAAACGATTCTTAGTTTTCAATAGTACTTCAGCTGATATCAACACAAAATTTGTCATCCGCACTTCATCAAGCAAATTGAAATAATTTATTCGATACCGCTGTATGTCATCATGAAATTATCAAATACTAGCTTATCAAGAATAAACTGGTCATAATCTCAGCATAAATCAATGATTATCTTATCTATAGAATGACCTAATTTTAACTTATGTACATCTACCCTTTCCACACTTAAAATTAATCCTAGTCAAATACTATTATCATTGCTATCATGATAATTATGTTTCAACATTAATAATCTTCCAAAAACAAACAATTTAGTAAGCACACTGACTCTAGTTTATTATCTCCTACCACATTCAAATCGCCTAATACAATCGCTTATCAAATGTTTCAGCCTATTCGTTATTGCAATAATATTACTGTTTCACTCAATATGATCTATATTTATCCTCACTGTCAATCTCTCATATTTACATTGCGTTTTAGTCATTTCAACTTTAACAGTTTTATACTGTTTTACAAACATACGTACATCTACTTGTTATAATGTTAGACATGGATTTGCTTTAAATCTGATCTATTTTTAGTTTGTTAGTTTGGATATAGAAGAGCGCAGAACCTAAACAGAATTGAAAGAATAATCTTCTTTGACGTATCTCATTTTTAATAGGTTTTAATATGGTGGAGATTTTTCCAAACTTAAAATATGCAATTGTCATATCATGTTTTTAGTTAACATGCTTTTTCTTGTTAATTCTGTGGACTATACGACTAAGTTAACACTTTGGAAGACTGTGCATTCTATAGCTGATCAAACCAACTAATAAAGCTATAGTAATCAAGTGAAATTTACATTACTTTAAGTGTATACATAATAAATTCTAACCTTAGCTTGTACAAACTTTGTGTTTTAAAATAATTTTAATTCGATGAAAATGTCTATTGGATTTTCTATTCTCTGCATGCTTCATCACTGATCAAACTCATGTGGGATGGGAATAGAAATTTGAATTTCTCAAAACTTTAAACCTTTTAATCACAAAAGGTAGAGTGTTGTTAAATTCACTCAATAAACAACAGTAAGTTTTGTATGAACTTCTGTAATAATCGGCCAAAAGTCTTCCGAAATGGGTTTTTTTGAGGCAGAAGACAAAGTTCGTCTAAAGCCATATTAAGAGACCGTGGACAGTATTTCCGACTTAAAAAAATTAGCAATTGGTCGTATATTAAAGATCAATGCACAGTACTGAGTACAAAGTTTGACCTTAGATATGTTAGTTATTAATGGAGTTATACATGCGAATATAAATCAAAGTTAAAAATGTTTAATTTCATGCAAATGACAGCTCCTAACTCATCATATAACTTACTATTTTGATAATGAATTGAAACTAAATAAAACCGTTGTAATCTAAACACCTTGTGAAAGAAACGTAACGCAGTTTCAATTAAAGAAGTCAGATATTACGAAGTTGGAAGTAAATAACTTTGCGTATATTAAAGTGTCTTGTATAAGCGCTTAGATGATAAAAATATGTTTTGAAATTGACTGATAAAAATCATTTTGACCAGTTTTTTTCTGAGAAATTTTAAAATTATCGATCATTATATTATCCATACGATAAGCAGAATATAAGTGAGCATTCAAAATGCATGAAAATGTTAAGTGTAGTCAATGCTAGAAATTCACATAAGATAAGCATTGACTGTTTTTATTCACATTAAAATAATAAACAAAAGATTCTATGCGCAACAGTAGTAGAGAACGCTATGATCAATTCAATGAAATCACTTATCAGTGCCAAATCCAAACACATTACTAATGTGTATTAAGTACCAGGGTATGATGTATTATATTTTTTGAACTTCTCGTTGAACTTTTATTTATTTTTTGCAAAGCTTCATTCTTAATGTTGTTTGGGCTTTCCATTACACATAAAGCATCTACACTTTATGCAGTGTTTGTAGTAGAAACTAATATTAGAAACAGTTTTAAACATTGGCCTAATTAGTTAAAATCTCGGGCTTATGACATTTGTCCTAAGTTTCACCATATTTGTGGCTAATTTAAACTGCGATAATTCTGCATTATATTAAAGTCACTCGTCTATCAGCTCTAATATGTTTTGTCGCTCACCGTAATCAATCAAACACTCAATACCTCAAGAACGATATGAACAGTAATGCTACTGTTCGAAAGATGAAAACACAGTGTTTAACATATATGTTTAAATTGTATTATCTGCTAGATTCAAAGGATGTTTTTTTCAGAAAATAAAAATAAATCTGTACATTAATCTCATTGATAAATAAAAATGGAGAGGATTCATTTACCACAGACACATAAATACTAAGTAATATGGAACAGAATAAAAAATATATTTCGCAGCTCTTGTCTTGTTTATCGGTCAGCATTGAATAAATAGTTATTTACAGAAAGAATAATTTTTATCATGACAAGTTCGTTCATTGACAGACAGTATATGCACATATCATCATATCATGGCAGATACAAAAAAAAGCTAATAAGGAAGAGATTTTCATGGATTATTGCATATTAAATTAAAGATAAGTCTCGTAAGTAGTATAGTGAGAAAGTTGTAATTTATCAAATTAGCATAATTCTTTACAGATTTTCTAGGACTTGCTTGAACGTCATGTAAATTATGTGAAAATGTTCGTTTCATATTATTATTATTATTATTATTATTTCTTTCATCCATATTTTCATCGTTATTAATTAACTGATTCATTTGTACTGATTCTAAATGTTTCGATAAACGTGTTTCATAATTAAATGTACAACCATCAGGTAAAGTTTCTTTGAAATAATTCATTATTAGCCGCACCGCATTTGATGGACATACGTTATACAATATATTATATAAACAATCCAATTTTGTTCGTAGAGATCTAAAAGTTCAAAAAAAAGATTTTAATATGACAAGAAAAGTGAATGAAAAACAACAGAATATCAATGAAATTCACTAGTTATAAATTAAAAAAGTTAGTTGTCAACGGAGAAGTGCAGTTAATTTCCTTCTGATTATCTGATCACTGACGGTGACGTTTAGAACAAGTATGAAACAAGGTGTGTTTTACATTTGACTGTATTTCTAGTTTAAGAACAAATTAAGAATGTGAATGACAGAAAAAAACATATTGGATTGGCAAAAAAGTGAGTTATAATAAATGAGTGTTTGGAATTCATGCTTTTAGCAAGCTGAAATTAAGAGCATTAATTTTCTACCTCTAAAGGATGTTTTCATTACAACCTGTGAATAGCGGTGGCAAGATATTTGAGAGTTCAAATCTAGCTGTATAGTAAAATACTCATTTTAATATGATTTTAGAAATTAGGTTTGTCGACGGTAAATGTTTCCTAAAATGTTGAAACCGATTTCGAATTTATTATACCGCTTTCTTTCCAGTCAAATCAGACATTTTCTCGTTCAAAAAACTTTCCTTTACTTCTAAACAGGAGGATGATCTTTGTTAAAAAATTCGATTGGCAACTAAATCGTGATTTTGTGCTTTTGTGTTTTCCTTACACATATTTCATAAAGTCGGCGTTTTGTATGAGACGATATAATTATTAGCGAAATACTTTTCCAGTGTAACCACTAATTTACTAGAAAAGTCAGTATATTAGGTTCCTTCGTGACATTAATTTGATTAAAAATTACATTTAAACATGACATATAGGGTTTTCAGAATAGAGTTTCAGTTGGTATAGTCGTTTTGTGGCATTGAAAGAATCATGACATCTTTTCACCATTACTGTATGTTATTCATCGCCGTTTCTTGATTTTTTAGATTACTTCAATGATCGATAATGCATATTAATCAAGAATGACTTTTTCGAATACTCAGGACTCAGGTTTAATTGTTCGAGTTTAAAAGAAGTCTAACTTTATCTGTTCGAGCATTACTGTTGAATTCATATTCTATGGTACATGGTTTCAATGAGACCATTCTAGTTTTCATTATTCAGTGCAGAAGAGGTTTTCATTCTGTCGAACAGTAAATTAAATGTAACGCTAGGCAGATCGATAAATAAAGTTCATGAATGACACTGACAAACATATCTGTAACTAATACATGTAGCTAAATAGAATCAGCATTCTGACAACATAAGCAAGTTTTTAATAAAAGATCTTTCCTAGTTCTTATTTCCGCTTGTTCGAATAGTTTCTCCGTATGCTTCATAAAGGCCTCCAGCTATTGAGAAAAAATGTACTACTTTATCCGAAGGAAACTAACAAAAGATAATCAGTAATCAACTACATTTCATAACTTTTCATCGACAAATAGAATTTCACATTTAAAGATTTCTAGCTTTTTAATGAAACTTCACTTCCATTATGGATTAGATTTTTGTTTCCTGTTGGTCGTTTATAGATTTATAATTCTGAATCAGTCGAAATTATATCAAGGCAGGTAGATTAAGTTAGGAATGTAGCCATTTCTCTGGTAGCTCAATAAATCGATATATTGTATAGAAGGATTTAATTGTTTATCGTGAATATCAAATGATTAATCGTGTTAAATGATTCATATATAACAGAATCACTTTAATTTTCCATAATGAATAAACTGAACTTTTGTTCCAGCAAGACAAAGTATTAATTAGATGTATTCTAATAGTGCACTCAAACGGAATATCTAAGTTTTAATTTATGATTAGTCACATTGAATTTAGACCATTTTTGTTATTGTTGTTATCTCTCTAAAACCATTTAAAAAATTCTAGGTAAGTTAATAATCCTAGCAGATTAAAACAAAAGTAAATTAACTGAATTATTGATGAATTTACTTTAATATAATAAACATATTTATTGCATGTAATTATGAAAATAATTTGTAATGAAGCAATTATTAAATTTTTGATGAAGCATTTATATAGATGATAGTTAGATAATTCAGTACTTATTTTAAAAACAATAAAATAAAGGCTACTGATATTAATACTTTATAACTAAATTTGAAAATAAACTTACTTGCACTCGTATGATGTTAGTGTATGCTTAATTATTGAATAATATTCATTAGGACTAGATAATAATCGACTGGATTGATTATGCAATGCCAGGACAACTTCTTTAATTGTCTCATTTCTATTCACTGTACATTGTTCAGCTAGTTTTTCTTGTTGTTTTAAACATCTGTACTGATGTTCACGTAAAACTAAAATCAAATTATTGAATAACAAGTATATGATGTTATGATGTATGAGTTCGAAAAAAAATTTATTCAAAACAACTCTAATTAGTTTAATTTTTTAAAACTGTTATCAACTGTAAACGATTCATTGTTTCCAAATACTTACTAGATATATTATTCTTTCTCCGATTCACATGACTTAAATTATATCAATCATAATTTATAAGATTTACGCGCATATCCATCTACAAGAATACATGTCTATTATATTTTCGAGTTCTTTTTTTAATCTCTAATTCTGTACAATCATATACATAATTGGACAAATTAAACGAGTGGCAATATTAACTGTTATATTTCAAATATATGTACAAATAGTTAAAAATAATTGCGTCTTTATTTTGAATAATCAAATTTAAACAAATAACTTTGACTGGAAATATTACCTTCACAAATTAAGCAAGTTATGCAAAAAGTATAATCTACTTATGTAGGAATATTTTTTTTTTAAAAATCGACTGAATAACAAAACTAAGGGTGCTATTGATCAGCTGGCATGCTCTGCAAATTTAGAAAAAAAAATGAAACTATGTTTTCGAATCTTCAACTATTTCTTAAAGAAATATTACGACTGTCAAGAAAAATGTAAAACTTATAACTATGCAAGCTTATATTATATATTTTTCATGTGTCCACTATGTAATGCCATTCATCGAAAGAATATCGACTTGCAATAATTCATATACGAATTGTGATTGTTAGTTTGACATTCATTTTTATAAATATATACTTTTGTAAAGTGAAATATTATTTTAAGTTAACATATAAACATAAACTGTGTTTATTTGCCTTAAGTATGGAAAATCACCAAGTTTTCTACATCCTCATCAAAGCCGATAAGTGAATATATATATATATCAACCGCATTCCCAATAGCACTAAAGGGATTCAAAAAGATGAATACTTTGAGTGATGTTCAAAGTTTGTTCTGTATGATTTTGTTTTGAGAACCAGGATCAAAAATAATTATACACGCAAATGAATAAGTCAAGCTGTTTTTAATAAAGAATTATGTATCTATTATTCAGCTAATTATAGCAATGTTATGATTTGTTTTCATACATACACCGGTGGCTAGTGATTTCAGTTTAACGATCTAGGTGCTAATTGCTGGTATCTTTTATTCACTAACTCATTTATCTGAAAACTGTATGCTCAAGTATTACTTTAGATTTTGATTGGTCATTGAAGTCTAGTTATAAATTATTGAATAACAATAAGATTTAGAAAAACTGTTTGGTTTTTTATAATATTCATAGTACTCAGATAATTAGTGACAATTAAGTTACCTTACGGCTGAAAATATGGCCAACAAGATTTCAGAAGCCATCTATGTCTTATCTTCAAGTAAGAAACTTATCGCAACATTCCGTGACCACATAAGTCACAAGACCAACTGAATCTTTTATCCGTCTATCCTAGATGTTTTCCTATAAAGGACATTTTGCGGGTACTACAAAAATCGATATATATAAAAAGTCAGTATGGAATGACTAATACGAATTTTCAAAGTTGGAATTTAATGAAACAAAAGAGAAACCCGATCCATGATCCCTGCACGATGGCTAGACGAATACGTACTGAGGATATAATCGATAACAAACTTGATATCACATGGTAGATACTAACCAACAGCGGATATAAATCTGAATCCACAGAGAAGTATAAGCTTTCAAAATAGCAACTTCAACGAAGACTCTCCAGATGAACATTTAGTTTAGAGGCAATTTCGCATTAAAAATTTTCAGAAATACGTTTATGATAATTTCGTTGAAAACATTATATTCGACTAAAATTCGTGTTATCTTTTCTGGTAGAGCCATTATTCCTAACTGTATGAAGTATTAGCTCTTGCTTTAGGCTAAATCTACGTGTATCGATTAGTTTATTTGTCTGTGTAGAGTAGGCCATATTGGCTGCACAGAGCAAGCTCTTCCGAACATTAGCGTTTCTGGCTTTCTAAAGGATTACAGAAGTCAGTCAATCTTCAAGCATTCAGGTAATTCTGGCGACTTTGCATCACCAGCATCCTCATTTGGAATTATACGCACGATTCGAAGATTCAGGACAAAAGCAATGAAGGTGAAAAATGTATGTACAGCAGAGGCTATTCCTATTCATCAGTTAGAGTCTAAGCTTTGCAGACAAAAACAGTATGCCCAGTCGATCACTCATTTTCAATCTAAACTACCCTTCAATACTTCCATTAAGCACTTACTTTTGAGTGTTTATTTTATTAAAATTATTATTTCCCTTCCTTTGCAATTAATTTCGCAACTGTTAATTAGCTTGTATTAAAACTTTCGTTTATTCAGTACTTGCTAGATATCAAATTGTCAATTATCTGCATCTTAGCCTTTTTCACTAGCAGATTGCTGTACAACTTCCTTTCAATATCATCATCGTTCCACACCATTCTATTTTACTGTAGACTACTATTTTAAAAAATAAAATCTACTTTCAATAAGATTGTACAGGTTGAATAAATGAAATCGTCGAAAAGAAAATTTTCTTGAAAAACGTTTATTAATTGTTCATTAGTCATTCATAATTGTGAAAACATTAATTGTAGAAAATATTCTCGTACTTTGGTTAATTATTGAAAGAATTTCAATGTCATGTTAGTCATATGTTTTGTCCAGTGCTCATACATGAAAAAATAATTGTTAAAGAACTTTAGTATTCCAACATAGTTTTCAGGATCAGAGTCACTAATGTTCTATTTACTGTTGACCTCATTTTTACAATATACTTTACAAGTTTTAAGGTAAAAATAGATCAACGAAAATTGGATGGATAGAATGTAGGTACTAGTGGAGACGAGGACGTGTGTTTCATCCTATTTGAGACTCGTCCTGAAGTGGACGTCAACTTTGATATTCAGGTGTTTTCATTCACAATAGCCATAACGATGGCCAAATCGAGACACACAGGGTGCTCATATGTCCAACAACAATGATCGAACTTTAGTCGAAATATCAGCAACGAAATAATCCAAACCATTTCAAATTAAATTAAAAATCGTTCGAAAATTTCCATTTTTTTATAGTACGGAAGATCATGTGAGACCTCAAAAATTCTTCTGAATACCATTTTTGTAATTATTCTATAATGAAACATGAACTTTTAGTTTATTTTCGATCGATAAAATTATGATCATTTTATAATATCTGACAACAGCAAGTCAGTGTTTGGCCTCGTGTAGTTAATGACAGAATATGCTAAATACTTTTCAGTCACTTTGATACTAATATTGCCTGAAGTATTATTTCCGATTTGAAGTCAAAGTTTCGGTTGTTCAGAGACAAACCTTTCCATATCGATTATAAAACATGTTAAACATATGTTTGTAAAGAAATATTTTTAAACTCCACATCTTACGTACTATTTTCGTACAAAGAAAGAAATTATTAATTTTGTGTTTTCGGATCACAATACGGTATAAAAGTGTTGCACATCTGGAATACTAAACTGAATTTCACATCGAAACTTACTTCTCAGATTATGTTGATGACATATATACGCGGCAGCTTTCTCAAATTTTCTTGTATCTAAAGAAATGGACCATATGATTTGTCGAAATTTCTCTTCATCGGAATGATTACATGATTCCTCAGCTCTTTTCCTCATACATTGAAATACTAATATGTGCCATCGAGTACTGAAAGTATTAATAAACATATAAATAAATAAAACAGTTAATTGAATGTGAAAATAAAGTTTGAAACGAAAAAACAAGAAAAGAAATAATGAAATTTGGCCGAGAATACTCAATTTTACTATTGTATGGTGTCTGACTGTTTATCTAAACTAATGCAAAATAGGCACCTAGCACTACTTATAAACATCTTCTATAACATTATCTAGTTGAAAGAGTTTATGTCTTCATATTGTTAATATAATGGATTGAATCTTGAATAATCACTTTCGCAAAATGTGCACTGGTTCGATGCAGTCATTAGTTCACAAGTGATTGCGCTAGGATAGATAGTGGAAATCAATTAAGTCCAGGATTTCCATTTGGTCCTATGTGAGACTCTTCAGATGATATGATTGTATATCGTACTTAATATTCACTGCATAATTCGAAACAATAATCTTTTCTTTTAAAGGCTGAAGCATTACCCACTTCCCGTTAAATAATAAAGTTAATGTCGGTTGCATAGGCTGTTAGCTACAAGGTTTCACTAACTGACTGAAGCGCTATGAGTGAAAAGTAATCGGTTGGAACCCAGTGTGGTCATGAATTCCGAGATGCGACTCCATTCAGCTGACAGTGCTCAAAAAAAACGAAATGAGCAATCCATTTTAATTTAAATCTTTAATAACAGAATGTAGTTACCGCTGGTTATATAGCAAACGTTTCGACATTCTTTGTGGCTCTTTTTTTCGTAATAATTAAGAAAAATAGTATTTCTTCTTATTCACTTAAAGTCTAAAACTTTTAAACACCAACGCGTCTTAACAAGATTTAAGTTTTCCTAAGTTTCTTTTCACTAAATCTATCATTCCAGACTTAAAAATGTAGGTAGCTTATTTTGAATATATGTTCTCTTGAATTCATGAGATACTGAAATTAACGTATGCAGTTATGTCAATAACTTTGCCAATATGAAATTTGTGTACGTGCAAAATATTTTTGTATCTCAGGCCTAATATAATTTGTAATACTATGTAAAAATTGCTTTCAGAATATGATGAAGTGAACGAAAGTCACTTCACGATATCGGTAGCATGTGAACTGAATAAAAATCGAGGTATTTTCAGAATACATGCCATTACATTTGTCTCGAATCGAATTAGCTAATCACCACTGTCATATTCACAACGTTACGTGGTGTTTAGCTATTACAACTAAATGTTTTCATTTTATTCTTTTTCAACAATATCCATTTCGATTCACTTCATTCTAAACCTTAAAAACGAACAAGCATCTCCAAGTCATTCATATTATTCAACAGACAAAGCCTTGTTTCATCTATTGATTGTGGTGATAAGTTTACTGTTGGTATGACATGAGTTTTAATAAATTATCATTCAAAACCAAAAATTTCATAATGACTGTTTTGCAGCAATCAGTGACTTATCAAAGTTAAAAAACGAAACGTTTGTATCCCTAAATCAAAGTCACAATTTAAACTTCAGACAGTTATTCATGAAAGTATGTATTGGCTGCGGTGATGTGACGTTAACTGAACTACACAAGTCATAGCTTTTCATTCCGCAGCTGTGATTTATTTTACTGAACCTAATGAGAAATCTTTTAAACTGCTTGAACTTTCCTCCTATAACACACGAACTCATACTTCATGTTATAGGTACATGAAAGAATTAAGGAAATTGTGTAACATCGATCGGTTACCTTACATTGCTTCAAACATGAGGTTCTTTTCTTTTGAGTGATTTCATTTGAAGTGAAATAACACTTTGTAAAATTTGCAGGTTCCTAACAAAAGAACTTTGGTTTTAAATTGCCAAAATTTGAACTCAGAGGTCGATTAGATTTCATTGCAAATATTTCATCAAGATATCTTACTCAAATCCCGCGATAAGATAACATGTTATGCAAACTAAGAATATTTCTTTTCATATTCTGACAACAGTTTACAAAATTTTATTTATAAAAAAACAAATAAAACAACTGATACTTACCGGCACATATATTCTGTATCATTTAGTGAACCATAACCAAAGCTATAGCCAGACAACTGACTCGTTGGGATATGAACTTTATGCTTTCTAGAACAATAATCTAATTCATATTCCAAATTAAAGCACTGTTTACGAGCATTTGTTAAATACTGTATTAGAAAAATATTAATTACTCCTGATAAAAAAATAAAATGAAATAAAAGCAGGATGTGTAAAGAAATAAATATAACATATTGAAAGTTTTTAATTAAAACAATTTAAAGCTAATAATTTACTGATGATAAAAACACTAACAAGTTTAGAATGTCTTGAAAAACTTTGTCTGCTTGATTGTGAAATTAATTTGTCAGCATGTAATAAAAAGTAGTCATTAAAACTATTCTGTAGAAAAAGTCAGATACAGATGATGTACACAATGAATATTGTGGTTTTTAGATCAATCGTTTATTATGTGATATGTTCAACGAGAAAGATAATGACAATTTTAACTCAAATGAAAATGCAGCTTAAATAATTGAAATTAGTGTTAGAAACCTGGAAGCACTGAATGGTTGTTTCGTCTTGGTATATGACTCATCAGCAGTCTGGGTCCGCGACGCCTGCTCGTGAGAATTCATCCCAGGACCTTTGATCTTTTGTGTGAGCGCTTACACTCTGGACCACTGAGCTGGCATCTAACTGCGGTGATGTCAAACTTCGATTAATCCACTGTCTTGGGCAAACTTATCTATTGTCTTCACAACCGACAGGGTTCATCTTCAGTGGTCATGAATTCTCACCTTAAACAATTGGACGATTTTGAAGAAGACTAATGATTATAGTTAAACTAAGGATATACGTGCTAAAACATTCATTGCAGCTTATAAAAGTTGACTGACATTATTTAACTTTTTAATTCATAAACATTTAGGATAATTTCATTTAGTCAGAAATTTTCATCAGAACATCTGATTTGAGAGTTTTGAAAATCGTTATAAAATATTTGTACAATACTACATGATCAGAGTTAGAACTCAATGGTGACAGTCAGTTTAGCACTTGGAAATTAGTGCAAATATGACGAGTATTTGAAAATGAATTTCATTAAGTTTGTGGAATATACAAGTTAAAATATATTTAATGGAAGTAATAACAGCTTTTTTGTTCAGATTTGTTTAAAAATATCTTGGGAACTCAGACAAGTAGTTATAGTTATCAAATGTATGAATAGTTATATTTTAACTCCCAAAATACTGATTGATTCCGTTTCTACTCCAAACAATAGTCCATAAAAAATTGGACTTCCAGGATAAAGCACTTCCATTTCTTCTAAATAATGAGTGTTACTTTTTTTGATGATTGTGATAATTTTTACTGTCCTAACTACAACACACTGTTTCCGAGAAGTGTAATTCAGTCTTAACAAGCACATATTTGATCAGATTATCTGAATTGTATGACGCAAATTTATCACTGATAACCTTCATCTTTTCATCACATTATCCAAATTTATCGAAGGGATTGATTGTTCTAAATTTTTGTAAAGAAGACTTCCGGCACACACTATTATTAGGTTAGGTGGACCTGTCAAGATCAAGTGCAAAAGTATTGTGGAACTAATGAACTTAAATCAGTTATACGAGAATTCACTTCAAAATAAATTAAAACCAATTATTTCAAATCTTATTCGACTGGCGAAATCCGATACAGATAACCGATAAGATAAATTGATCAAACTGACTGAAATGCATACGCAGGTATTGTCTGCATTAACGGAAACATCTATATTTTGCCAAATTAGATTTATCAATTTTATCAGTTCTGTTATTTTGAACACGAAAGAAAAGATCAAATAAAAATATTGCTTTAGTAATTATCATATAAATAATCCATTCACAGTTAATCTGGAGAGATATATCACTAATTTATCACTGAATTGTGTTGTTCGCTGATGAGAAGGAAACAATGTCTCTGATTCAATATTTCTGTCTCTGCAACACGAACATCTTGTTAGGTTGTCAGCATCCGAATCGAAAACCTATAAGATCAGTCTATTAATTTAATTCCTACATCCTTAGGGAATGAAAAATGGGTGTAAAGCTAGTGTACCAACTCATTAAAAAAATACGAATTATTATTCTGATCAAGCCCGATAAGGGGTCAGGTTTTGTTATTGTTATTCATTCTGTGTGGCGAAAGCAAATGAATGGCTGATGTTGACTAAGATGGACTAAATTAACCAAAGAAAAAATTCAACTCGAATCAGTGGAAATTACTTAACATGCATACTATCAACATAGAGAAATTTAGTCTTTCAAAACTGTTCCGTTCATCATATACTCATTTATATGGACTCCTTACGTTCAGTTTTACCGGTGTGTCGATCATCTACTTATGGAAATAGTGTAAAACCCTATTCTAAACCATTTTTGTAAGTATTCTTCAAAAGATTCACCTGAACTAGTCATTTATTTGGTGGTTAATAACATATACACTAAGACAATAAGATCTTTTGAATTAAACACTTTAGATACAAAGGTATCTCATAGGAAGACTAGTGATATTTTCTGTAACTTAACCATGAAATATCCTTCTTTCACCATAAAAAGGATTTAGCATCATCATGAACTGACAGTGAGAAATTAACAGTTGAGGCAGGGCATTTTCAACAAATTGATGGAGTAGATATAGGTAGCACTTTAGGATCACTGTTGGTTGATATACTTATGGCATATAAGAAGAATCTATTTGAAAACTCCCTTTAAAAGGTGCATCCATCTAAGCGGTACATGGATGATATCATTATTTATAAGTAAGATGCAAACCTTTTTTAACAGGGACTCAACACAGTTTGTCCTATATCAGAAGAAGAGATAAATAACCCGCTCTCTTATCCAAACATACTAAACAGTTGAAATGACGATGGTTTTATCAAACATTCTGTGCTTTAAAAGCTTAAATGAACAGAGCAATATCTTAGGTTACATAATCATTCCCCAGCCCAGAACAAACGTGGACTTATAAAGGGCTTATTCAACAGGATCAATCCTAGTTACACTAGCAGTACTAACATTATCATTATCATTAACACATTTATGCAGCCTTACTAATTACTGTCAAGCACAAAAACAATATCTAAACGATTGTGTCATACTTCAAGGCGGAATATTTAGCTAAGACTGGTCATAAGTCTGATATCAAGTCAATAGTCAAAATGTCTTAGTATTTGCAACGCACTATCCTTACTAATGTGTAGTCATTTTTAATCGTCCTCTAAACAAGAAGAATGTTTGTCATGATTTCAGTTTGTATTATCAATGCAATACATAAGTATTCAGTTTTTTAATTTTCTTTAAAGAATATGTTGTTTATATGCAAATAGGTTGATTGCTTGCACTAATGTTATCACTGTGGAATTCGAAAATAAGTTCATTTAGTCAGAAATTTTACTGTAGTAAAATATAATTATTATTTCAGTCTTACAGATTCATATCTTGATCACTATCAACCCTAAACAATTTATCTTTTGTACTATAATCTATGTCTATTGATTCCGTGAAGCGTCCGCTGACAGTCATTCAAGAAAAGAGAAGAAAATGAATAAAAAATAGTCAATAAATTTGCGTGGCTAACTTGTTTCAAATAAAATGTAACTTTAAAATAGGAGATACAATTTATGACTGGTCATGCTGAATTTCTTAGAATTTCAAATCTAGTTTAGACTATGTGCATATTTCGAACACTTGGAATTTGAGTCAGCTGACGATAGTTCGATCACTTTGCAGAGTTCAACAAGTACTTTTTAGAATCTTTTTCTGGCCTTAAAGCAGACTGAAGGACTGGTCGGCTGCAGCCATGAGTATATTGTTGGAGTTCGATTTTATCTCATTTCATTGTTTGTTTAAATATTTGAATAACCATCTTCCAGTGTTCATTTGAAAACTCTAAACCTATTAATCTTAGCCTGAGTCTACAGTTTTTAAATGATAAACAGATATTTAAGTAGTACAGATATTGACTGATATAGTACCTTTCAATGTAAGCTAACAACTGACATACTCTTGTCATAATAATGGATTTGGGAAAACACCATGTCCTTTAAATACTATTTTTACTGTATAATTTACGCTTGAGATAACAAACAGTGGTCAAAGACTCAAAGATACATATCTTTTCTTCGGTCTCAACCATTTGATTTCCAATGAAGCTATGGAGTTATTAACTAACGGATAACTTGATATCCTAACAAATTTGTTTAATTGCAACCGAATATAACAGTTTACAATTGAATTATTCTGCCATCATATTGAATTTCATCATTCGGTTCTTCCCTACTTCCTTTCCCAATTAAAACTCTTTTAGAAGTATTCATTCAGTATAAGTAAATATAAAACATGTAAATTTTCGGTTAGTGTTACTTACTAATTACCCAAAAGTATGTAGTTAACCAACAATCATTGTAAGCTGAAGAAAATGCAAACGAATTTCCTATTCAATACAATATCTTTAAGGGCATTCACACGACTCAACTATCCATTTATAAGTAGATTTACATTATACTCAGGTATTCCTTAAAAGTGACATGTTTATAGAGTCTTGAAATATAATTTTTAAAAACGTTTTAGCCATAGTTTGATTATTATTATTATTATTTTTCATTAATAATCCACTATATTTTCTTTCCAATAAACTACCTTTCATGATAGAAATTTTATACACTTCAACAGACAAAGAAATCAATAATCATTTATGTTCAAGCTCGAATTTATACTCTGTGAAAATCTAATTTTTCATCTTTGGCATGATTGCTAGGGACATTAATCGGAAGCAATTATTATTATATTGTTTTGTTGTCAAGTCATTCGAATCGAGTAGGCGATTTCTCAAAAAGATATATAATATATAGATGTCTTGATAAAATGATACAAAACGGCTAAAACGATATTAAGACGTAATTGATTAAATACCTTGAGGCTGATATTTATAAATTTAATAAAAAAATCTATCAATTATTTATTCTTCAGTTAGAAAAACATTTGGTTCATTTGATTTTATGTTTAATAGAGCGAGGAGTGTTGAATTTAAACACACACATCTAAGTCGTCTAATATTTAGGACTTTTAAAACATAACGAAATGCATAAAACAGCCAAACTAATCAAGAAACTACATCTTAAAGAATCTAAATTGGACGTTT